CAGCCCAGCCCCGGGAGCTGAGGCCGCGGTGAGCCAGCGCCTGTCTCGGGGGCCCTCAGGCTGTGAGGGTGATGTGTGGGACCGGGAGAGCTGCGGGGGCCAGGCGGCCATCGAGAACCCCAACCTCTGCCTGCGTCTACGCTGCTGCTACCGCGACGGCGTGTGCTACCACCAGAGGCCGGATGGTACGTGGGGGCCGGGCGGGGGCCCGGGGCGCGGGCGCGGCTCCTGAGCGGCCGCTCTGCCTAGAAAACATGCGGAGGAAGCACATGTGGGCGCTGGGCTGGACGTGCGGGTTCCTGAAGAGCAAGTGCGACTTGTCCAGGACGGTCTCGCTGCTGTCCAAGGACCGAGGGACGAGTGTGGGCAAGAAGACGCCGTCCATGGGCAGCGTTCCGGCCTCCATGCACACGGAGAACCTGGATGTCTCGGGGGGCACCGAGGGGGAGGGGACGGAAGGGGGGGAGGACACGGAGGGGGGGGAGGAGGAGGACTAGGGCCCGGAGCCTCAATACAGGCACAGCGTGCAGTCGCGTGGGCTCTTCCTGCCGCCGTGCAGCAGGAGGGGACGGTGGGCGTGAGTGTGCACTGGCTGTGCTCATGGGGGTGTGAGCTGAGGGTGTCCAGGAGGGCAGGCCTGATGCGAGGACACGGGGTGGGGTGAGGCAGGCATGGGCTAGGGTGCCCTGCTGGTTGGTGCCCTTGTTCCCAGCCGAGCACGGAGGGCCCCGCCCCTGTGCGTGCCTTGCAGCCTGGTTGGCACCATGCAGGCCTCTGCTTGGGGGTCCGGGGCCTCCTCGGTGATGGTGTGGGCCCCCAGACTCCTCACTGGCCAGCTGAAGCCTTCCTGGAGAGGGCTGAGGTCCGAGACTCGAGGCCCACAGTCCGTCCCTCCCCTCTCCTGCAGGCGCCCACCTGCACTGGCCCACCCCTGTACCCCATAACCATCTGGCAAGTCCATCGTGTCCCTGGAAGACCCAGGGGCTGAGGGAGGGCTGGGCTGGAGACCCTGGCGGGCAGCAGGCAGCTTCCCCGCCCTGCCCAAGCGCAACCCGCTCCCAGACAGACACTCAGAGCGCCAAGAGGCAGGGCCATTTATCCAAGGGCAGACAGAGGGGGCTGGGCAGGACTCCTGGTGTCCGGCTGCGCGGGGACTGCACACCTCGGTCAGCCCCTGACAGGCGGCGGTCCTGCAGGGGGGAGGCTGGGGTAAGGGACTGCTCAGCACCCCATCCCTGCATCCCCCAGGCCAGCCCCTCTCCCTGCATCAGCCACTCCCACACCACTCCTGCACCCCGACTGCTGCAGAGCCCTCAGCATGTGTGCACATACATGCATGAGTGTACGCGTGTACGTGTGTGTGCGCCTTTATCTCACCGGGATCTATCTTACAAAAAAGTAGAGAGATCGAGTCACAGAAAGAGAGGGAGGGACCAAGGCACAGAAATGAAGAAACAAAAAACTTGAGGAGACAGAGTCTGAGACAGAGACGAGAGCAAGAGAGAGAGACACAGGAAGACAAGGAAGAGGGAGAGCTGACCGGCGGTGGGGGGCTGCCCATCCATTCAGCCATCTTGGCCTCCGTGGGGGGGGGGGCTCCACCAGATGCAGAAGCTGCTGGCCCCTCCGTTAAAATACAAGCTCTTGGGGGTGACAGGTGGCGTGGTGGTTAAGGCGCTGGACTCCCACATGGCTGACCACGGTTTGAGTCCTGGACTTGGCAGCTTGCTTTCTCTCTCTCATCAAATTGAGTAATAATAAATACAATAAATAATTCTTTTTTTTTTTTTGGAGAGATTTTTGCTATAGGGCATGTGCGCTCGCCAGGCAGACAGAGAGACAGAGAGACAGAAAGCGAGAAATCACCCCCCAGGGGGGATGGCCATGCCGCAATCCCTTCTCCTCCATTCTCCTCTCGGGATCTTGGGCACGCACGCACACACGCCCAGTGTGAGTTTTAAGCCACCGGGTCTGGGACGCGAACAGCGGTTGACTACGTGGGAGTCCAGCGACATAGCCATTATGCTAACTGCTGGTTCCTGCAATAAATAATTCTTAAAAACCATGCAAGCTCGGGACCAGCAGATGGTGAAATGGCCACATCACTGGACTCCCATGTAGTCAACCATGGTTCGAGTCCTGGAACCAAGAGCTTAAACTCAGGCTGGGTGCGTGTGTGTGCGTGCCCAAGATCCTGAGAGGAGAATGGAGGAGAAAGGATTGCGGCGTGGCTAACTCCTGGGAGGGGGGGTGATTTCTGTCTCTCCGTCTCTGTCTGTCTTCTTGGTGAGCAAACGTGCCCGAAAGCAAAAACAAAAACCTCTCAAAAAAACCCCTGCCAGCTAGTAATGCAGCACTGGTTACGTCAGGGGGGCCGAGTCGCCCAGGGCCTGCAGTCTGAGGCCCAGACCAGCATCCTGGAGCACACCCTCCAGGGCATGCCCTCAGGGGCCCGGGCCTGAGTGGCTGGAGGACTGAAGGGGGCTCAAGGGCTGAGCAGACCCGTGGGAGGTGCTCCTCCCTCTGTGTCCCGAGCACACAGTCATGAATAAAGACATTTCTATGCATGTTTTTTGTCCTTTGTGTTCTGGAAGCACCTCGCCTGGCTGTGAGCAAGCCTGCTTTTCTTTCTTTTTTTAACAAAAAGTGATTGGGGCTGGCAGGTGGTGTGGTGAAGGGCGTTGGACTCCCACATGGTCAACTATGATTTGAGTCTTGGACATGGTAGCTTGCTTTCTCATTTTCCCTCTCACTCTATCTCTCTCTGGTCAAATTATAAAAAAGAAAGGAAGGGGACCAACAGGTGGCATGGAGGCTAAGGTGCTGAACACTTCCACATGGCTAACTGTGGTTCGAGTCCTGGACCTGGTGGTTTGCTTTCTCACTTTCCCTCTTTCTCTCTCTCTGGTCTAATTAAAATAAATAAATGAATAAATTAAATTAAATTAAATAATTTAAACAAAAAGAAAGAAAATAAAAATGAAATCATTCTTTAAAAAAATTGCTACAGGGCATGCACACTTACCAGAGAGAGAGGGAAAGTGAGAAAGCAAGCCACCAGGTCTAGGACTCGAACCACGGTCAGTCTTAACCACCACACCAACTGTCGGCCCCAGGCCTGTTTTCTTTCTAAGCAGGGCCTATATTCAAGCTGCCTTGGCCTGATTCCCTAGTGGGCGGCCGGCAGTGGAGACCTGGGAGAAACGCAAAGGTTCTGCGAGGGCCAGAGTAAGCACAGGCGGCCATGTCTGCAATCTGGGCGAGTTGGCGTCAGCTCAGTCTCCACTGTGCCCTGTGTGGAGCTGTGCGTTCGCATTCCCCCCTTCCCAGAGCATGGAGATGACTTGGGCAGCTGCTTTCCCTATTCTCGCGAAGAAGAGCTATGACCAGCATCGTTCTGGACGCACAGAGGGCTGCTGATTTGCCCATGAAGAATGAACATGAGTTCATTCTTCCATGAAGACTCCTTTGGGAAAATGGATTCAGCCACCATTCACCATTGTTCCCCCTATCCATTCACCTGTCCACCAACCCATCTGCCCACTCATCTGTCTACCTATCCATCAGCTCTGACCAGACATCCAACCACCCATTCACCCATCTACCCATCCAACCATATCCATTCATCAATTGATCACCCACCAAGCCGCCATCCACCCATCCATCAACCCAACCATATCTACCTGTCACAATCTAATCATCCACCCACCCATCCAACCAACCCATCCATTCACCAGTCTACTCACCCACTGCCTATCCATTCATCCAACCAACCATCCAATCCACTCACCATCTATTCATCCACTACTCATCATCCACCCAACCTCCCCATTCATTCATCCACAATCTATTCATCCACCACCCATCTATCCACCCAAATAACCCATCCATTCACCAGTCTATTCAGCCACTGTCCATCTATCTAACCTATCAATCCATTCATCCACAATCTATTCATCCACCACCCATCTAACCATCCAACCAACCCATTCATTCACCAATGTATTTTTTTTTTTTTATTTTGGAGAGGTTTTTGCTATAGGGCGCGTGCACTCGCCAGAAAGACAGAGACAAGAGAGATAGAATGCGAGAAATCACCTCCCAGGGGGGATGGCCACGCCACAATCCCTTCTCCTCTTGGGATCTTGGGCATGCACACACATGCGCCGGCGTGAGTTTAAGCCACCGGGTCCGGGACTCGAACCGTGGTTGACTACGTGGGAGTCCAGCGACATAGCCATTATGCTAACTGCTGGTCCCCACCAATGTATTCATCCACCACCCTTTCATCTATTCATCCAACCTACCAATTCATCCATCCACAATCTGTTCATCCACTGCCCATCCATCCATTCAATCACTCAACCAGTTCATTCATGAATCCCGCATCCATCCACCCAGCCACTCATCCATAGACCAGCACATACATCCACTCACCCACCCATCTTTTCGTCCTACCCAGCCAATTATGAACTTTTCCTGAATTCAACTGGACAATGCTCGAGCTCAAGACCCTCCCTGGGTGGGAGACAGGACAGTCATAGGAGCAGCAGCAGGGCGACTTGGTCAACAAAGGCCAGGGGCAGGAAAGGAGTTGGATCTTTTTTTTTTTTTGAGAGTTTTTTTGGGTGGTGTGGTGGTTAAGGGTGCTGGAGTTCCACATGGCAGACGGCAGTTCGAGTCCCAGACCTGGCAGCTTCCTTTCTCACCTTCCCTCACTCGTTCTCTCTCACTCTGTTCCTCTCTGGTCAAATTAAAGTTTAAAAAGAGAGAGATTTTTTTATAGGGCACATGCACTCCCCAGAGAGAGAGCAAGAAATCACCCCCTGGGGGTGATGGCCTCACCACAATCCCTTCTCCATTCTCAGGATTTTGGGCATGCATGCACATGCACCTGGTGTGAGTTTTATTTTTATTTTTAAAGGATTATTTAATTTTATTTGTTATTTTTCAGTTTGACGAGAGAGAGAGAGAGAGAGAGAGAGAGAGAGAGGGAGCACAACACCATCAGGTCTGGGACTCAAACCGTGGCCAGCCATGTGGGAGTCCAGTTGCCCAACTACCATGCCACCTGCCAGCCTCCTGGCATGAGTCTTGACGCAGGGCCTGGGACTCTAACCATGGCCGACTATGTGGGAGTCCGGCGATGTGACCATTTCGCCGTCTGCTGGTCCTGGGAGTTGGAGGTTCCCTGGTTGGAGCAGACGGCAAGGGTGGCTCCAGTGCCGGAAAGAGCGTGACCGAGGCCAGATGGTGTGAGGGACCCGGCCTCTGTGGACCGAAGGCATCACCTCCGCGGAGAGGCAGAAGTGGGGCCGAGAATGGAGGCCCACATGCCAACGAGTGGCTTGGGTTGAACGGAAGGGCAAGTGGCAGCCACAGCAGGTCTT